TGAAAAGGAAAAAGAAAAATACCTTCACATATGATTATCGCATAATACAAAATGTTTTTCACACACTCGTACATACTATATATATTTATCGTATCTGACTGTAGCTGGTATCAGGCGAAAGAAAAAGTTGCATGTGAACAAATTGTGGAAAGAAACTTTAGAAACCTGTCATTCCATCGAAGTCATACATGCAATGCATTCAGCTTTTGAGCGATTTCGGACATACATATGTATATGCAAGTGCTTAACGAGTTGCTTTTCTTTTGGAGAAAAATCTTTCTAATTAGATCAATAATTGGCAAATGAGGGAAATTCGAAGTGATGAGTAAGTTTGGCATTGAAAATTGAAAAACTGCTAGAAATACATTTATTGGATAGAAAAGCTTATTAAACTCTTAACTACGTTATAAAAAAAATATTTTGCAGCACTCATTGTGACAAAAATGAGTGAAACATAGGGGTTAATCTCAAGGGTTTCGAACGAAAATAAAAAGCTGGGAAATTCAAAATAATTATCTGAAAGTGTAAATATATGTAAAACAAAATTTGGCTTACTACTTAACCCTTTATTAATTAGTTGAAAATAATGACGTGAAAAATGACACTAAGCTTCAGCGACCCAATCAACTTTACCTTAAAGGTCGAAAAGCTTAAATTATGTGTGTTACGGTAAAGAATATTGCTTTGACTCAACATTAATAGGCTTTGAAAAGCAACAAAATTCCTTCAAATTGCAAATATTTAGATGCTATCTAATGATGCCACCGGTTTGAAATTGCTGTACATACATGCATTTTTTTACGGCTTTAGAGTTTAGTTAAAACATGTTGGAATAAATTTGAAAATAATTTCAGTAACGAGTTGCCACATATTTCAAAATTGGAACGCATTTAATAAATATAGTATTACAATAATTAATAAATCTAATATGCCTTGACACAACATTATTAGGTTTGGAAAGTAAGAAATTTCTCCCAAAGTACAAACATTTAAAGCTTTCCTTGGGTTATATAATTTGCAAAAACATGCATGAAGCAAATAATTCCTGAGTCATTTAGCTTGAATGGCATTAGCAGCAATTTATATAACAAAAAAAAAAGAACCGAAAAAATTTTATAAAGCTTTCGTTTACATAGCGTGTAACATTTTAATATAATATTTAGAATGTTGCCACCTATTTAAAATTTCAAAAGCAAATGTATGTTAATGAAAGACTACAACAGTAACGCCAAACTAAAGACAACACAGAATTTAAAGTTACAAATATTTAGTAGTGTTGCCACCTGTTCGAAATTTTTACATTAAAAAATGTATATAAGAAAGAAGTACTGCAATATAAAGATTTAAAAAAAAAATTTATTGTTTAAAATCGTTTTAACGGAGTTGCCACTTTTTAAATTTTACTTGGAAGTAATTATTATTTTTTAATTACCATAGATGTGGTATCCAATAAGATATATTATTACATATTTTAATATTTTTTTATTAATTTTTCGGCTTTATATGGTAGTTTAACTCAGCAAATATTGAAAGAGTGGTATTTGAGTATTATTTTATATATACATCACGTCTAAAGTAAAGTTCTTAATACAGTTCTAAAAATTACTTAGAATATAGCAAATTTCCATAATGGTTTTTCAAATATATGCAGCAAATTTTCCAAAAAAATATCAAAAAATGAAAGCTCATTCGAAATTCTTCTAATGGATGACATACAAACACATACTCGTACATATTTATTAAAAATATGTATGGAAAATAAAGTATTTTCTTTAAAAATATATCACTACCCAAAAGCAAAAACTAATACAAATAAAATCTGAACTTGTTTTTAGCACTAAATAAACTTAAATCTGGTAGAAGTAGTGCGTTGACTTCATTTAAGCTTAAAGTCTTTCATATTTCCCTCACTTCCTTTATATCCAACAGATTCTCTTGCTTATTTTGTTTTCTTTTATGCATGTATGTAAAATAAAAAATAAAGAAATTTCTACATACTCGTATATATAAATATATTTCCCCCTGAATTTTTGCATTCACGAATTTCGATAGATAGGAGCATTAGCACTCAGCAAAGAGCGACACTCGAGAGATAACCTAATGGAAAAAACAAACTTAAAATAAAACCCAAATCCACTTTTATATAATACACTTGTACATTTGTGGGTGGGTATATACATAGTAGTGAAGGAGTAGATGGGTAAATATATACTTCATTCAAGGGAGCAGTGCAATGGTCAGTGATGGGTTTCACTCTTCCTAAGTAAACTCGTAAATAATTCATTAGCGCGCTTGGGAAATTAAAGTATTTTTACACTGCATTAATTGTCGTAAATAAATTACAGCGAATAAAAGTTGAAAACAGGAGAAGGAATAGTTAAAATGAAGGAAATATTATTTGGTGTGTTTATTAGTGCGTATTTTAGTTGGATTTGTAAACAAATGTAGGTAATTTCCTACTTTGTATAGGTTAATGATCTTCAACTAGCTCAGTGCAGCATTTTTCGGGTCTACGAAATTTAGTCAGTCAGTTTATTATAGTCGGTCGGCTGTAGAACTCGTTCAAGTATCTAGTAGAAATGTATGGGCCAATTATATTACTAACATATAATATATATACTTGTATAAAGTAGTCGGGGTACAAAACTGTATGTGTTACTGCGAAGTACTAAAACTGTGGAGAGGGTATTTTCAGGTCTACCTTCTGAGTCTTGGTTATACGTCGGTAGAAAGTAAGATATCTTCCTGACCCTTTACTTGTAGTTTGAGTCGAGTGAAAACTTACTAGAAGCTGAAGCAATTTATTTAACATATTCTAAAAACTAAATATTTCTAAAACATATACAGGCATGATCAAGGGAACTCATTGGTAGCCTAAGCTTCGTTATGCAAGCTATGCTTTGAGAGCTACTACTACAAGTACTACTACCAACTCTTAGTACTCATTTAATCATGATTAAGCAATTTTTCAAGATATTAAGAGATAAACTTTCAACTTTTTTTTAAATTTATATTACGTGCGAAATTTTCGGATTTTTTTTAATATAATATAATATTTTAGAAAATGATTATTTTTCACTTTCTTCACCAGCATCTCTTTTATTTCAATAAATGTGCAAAAATCGCACTAAATGATAAATCAATGAAAAAATCTATTTTCAAAGTCTTCAAACAAACTGCTAGCCTATTTAATCTATTTATGACTGATACTTATTTTTATAGAGTAAAGAATAAAATTAATTATGCAATGTATTTTTATATAAAATATTATAAAGATCAAATTCCTCTCTTTATAATCACCAATTAGAAATCGTAAGCTAAAAATAATTGTACCAACGTCTCTGCTTTAATCTCTTATATTTATGTATTTAAAATTATGCTAAGAAAAGCCACTTCAGTGGCACGCGCAGCGCCTACCAGCCATTAACGGTCTTTTTTTATATTTGCGCATAAATTTAGATTCGCTTTCCGTGAAACCTCGAGTTACGAAAGCGATGAGTTGCCTGTTTGAGTTGAAAGGTGACGTGTTATGTATGTGTGGCTACTTTTTTAAGCACCATACTAGTTCTAACTATAATGCTATTTAGCTATGTAGTAATAATAGATATCTTTAATTTTTTATATCATAATTAACAATTTTGTTTATATTTATTTTTATTTATTGTTATAATTTCGTTTTTAAGATTTTTGTGATGAATAAGTTAGATTTTTTAAATTTTTTAATACTATATGTTTATCTAAAGTTTTTTAAAATTTTAAAAAGTTTTCCATAATTTTTTAATAAACAGCCACTACATATATTTGAGTTAATTTATTTTAAAATTATTTTACCACAAAATATCAAATAAAAAATATTTTTTTTTTATATATTTAATACATTTTTCATTTCTTTATTTATTTCGTTCTTTTATCGAGTAGTAAATTTTCTTTTAATTTTTGTGTATGCTTTTATACGAAAAATTTTTATCTGCATTTTTAATAGTTTTTGTTAGAAAGAAAATAACTATAAAAAAGTGTAATATAATAATAATAAAATATATTTATCATCTATTTAATTACTTGTTCTTTAATTTTACATTCAATATATTTTTTTAATCTTTTTGTATGTTTTTAAGAATTTTTTTTTCCATGCTTTAGTTTTTTTTTTTTGTGTTTTAATTTAAATTTAATCACTTTGATTTTATATGTTAGATATTAAAAATATTAAAACTTTTTGTTCACTATTTTTATTTAATATTTACAATATATACTTTTACAGTATGTTTTTAATATTTTAGTTGAAAACATTTTTAAATTTAACCTTACTTTTTGTATTACAATTTATCAATTTTATTAAAATATTTAATAAATTTGTTTTCTTTAATTTTATTTTAATTTAATTTTTGAGAAAATAAGTTCACTTTTTTTCGGAATGGACAACTTTTTCATTTGAGGAGATACCCTTATGAAATTTAGCATGGAATATTTTCCAAGGCAAAGCGGCAATGGCTGAAGAAATTGTTCAGTTCGGATAACTGTAGCACATAGGCGCCATACAAACTGAACGTTCTGTATCAAGTACCTGTTTGGAAATCTTCTAGATTTCACAAGATATATTCACGAAATTTGGCATGGAATATTTTACGGTACAATCTTCGAAGAACTTTTTAAGATCGGACCGCTATAGCATATAGCTTCCATACAACCTGACCGAGTTCAAACGTACAAACTATACGATCGGAATCAAGTTCTTGTATGTAAACATTTTTCGTTTGACGAGATATCCTCACGAAATTTGATATAAATTATGGTTTGAGATATTATATTTATTTATACAAATTTTAACAATTATGATTTTTGATGATTATTAATATTTTTAGTAATTTTTTATTATTACTGTTATTTTAAAATTTTTGCATTTTAATCTCTCTTCACTCTTCTCTGCTCAAATGATCTTCAAACAAGCAACTCAAACCCGCTTTCCACAAATTTTACAACAAAATTCAGAAGAAATAAGCTTACCTTAAGTCACACTATTTTTTTATTGTTATTGATTATGTTAGCACTTTTCGTTGTGAAATATCAGCATCACATTATATTTACACATATATTTTTACGCGCCGCCGACTTTTTGCTTTCTGCTGCTAAATTTTACACGTTCACTAGAAAGAATATTGTATGTTCACATATACTTATAGCTTTGTATGTCTAACCATATCCTTATTGATTGGGTTATTTGATTATTCTACAAATGATGCCTGGCGGCGCGAAAGGGTACACGCCAATGCAACACATATTCACAACAACAAATGAAAGTTCTAATGTGTTGTATATATTGTTTATACAGCTTGTTGCTGTATGGCACAAAAACAAAAAAAACACACGGAGAACAAGCAACGTTGTATGGAAATTTCGAAGACCTTTCCTCATATGAATGTTTGTAAGTGCACACACATACATATACAAATTTATACAACAGTTCACTAAAAAATAATAAAAAATAACAGTTAGACACACAAACAGTCACTTTTGAGTATATGCGCATGAAGCAGGCACCCGTGGCATAGCAAGAAATCGAAGCCAGTACGTGCATTTGCCGCATATCGGATAGCCCGGGCGTATGAGTAACCAAGAAAAATATGTGAGCATAATATTTCCGCACTTGTCATGTGTGTGAATGTTACAATTTCTTGCTTTATTTACTACCGCGTACGTGCCTTACGAGCGCACATATGTCTACATTATATATATATATACTTGAGGGACTTACATATATACAACTATGCACACTGCTGTTATTTGCTCTTGAACTTATAAAATCTCCATTGGGTTTTTCACACATCAAGCTGATTTATATCTTATTTATGTATGTCGTTCCTTTTTTTGCGCTTTATTTATTTTCACTGTTATTTGATAGTTTCATGTTTATTTATTTATTAATTCCACCTTTGTTACCAAATGTCAACAGCGTTTTCGGTGTGACCAATGGAAAGTTCATAAAATTTCCTAAACTTATTTGCTCTTGTGCATATATATATATGTGTGTGTGTGTTTACACTTGCCACCTTTCCAAAATTCTACTAACGTGGGTCGCAACAGCTGCCATTGGCATGTGGCAGCGCACTCACCGTATTCCGTTAGTTTACTTCCGGTGTTTTGGACGGTTGCGGAAGTCACACCGCGCACATTTCGGTAATGGACGGTACACTTACATTTATTTGGTGGAAGCTAGTTGCTGCAAGCAGCGCTTGTAATAAGCAACTGAGCTCACTTGGTATGAGTGGCCATTTAAAGTGTTCTTAAATGACTTTGGCTGCGTATTTTGAACAAGTTTGGAACTTTAATATTACATATACTTTTACGCTTTTATTTCATTAGCAAAAAAAGTTTTACTTTTATATACAAGTATGTGATAAATTATAACTATTAGGCTTTATAGTGTATTATTGTGCAACGAAATATTTTATAAAGATTTGCTTGTTGCATGTTATATTTATTTAGAATTTGCTAATTTATTTATTTTTTATTATATATATTCTGTTGTTCAAGAATATTTAGTAAAGACTTAAGCCACTGATCGTGACAGTTTGGACACATACCACAATTATGAAAAAGAGTTTAGTAAAGCTCTGGCACTAGTAAATATATTTCATTGAAATAAAGGATTTAGAGATTTGCCTAAGCTAACAAAAATAACTGCATTTTTTTGAAAGAAGAAGTAGGAAGTAGATATAAAAATGTGTTGCATACGCTACACAATATAGATAGCTTTGATAGTGAATTTCTCAGTTGTCTTTCAATGATAAACATTTCTTTAAAAATATTTAACTTTAAAGTCAAAGAGTAGAAAAATATTAGAAAACAATTATTCACGGCTAACCCGCTCGCTTATATATTAGGCATATACCAATACATACATCTTCAACAGTTAAAAGACTGCTTTGCTTTTAGAAAATATTGTTTATCTCATAGAAGCTATGGTTGTTTGAAGGCTGTGACGCCTTCTCTTGATATTATTTGCTTTCTTAAAGAAAAAACTTTGCAGAATATACTCGCCTCCACTAAGATCTGGTGAGGATATAGCTTACTAGCTTGTATTATTTTATCTTTTTAGGCATTTTTACATAAAATATCGCCTTTTGAAATTGATTATTTATAAAAATTATGTGTAGAAAAACAAAAATAATTTTTCTCAATACGCATGAATATTACTATAATATTTTGAGTTTTTTTTCTTGCACTTTTTTTTTAGATATTTATAGCTTTTCATAGATATTTATATTTTTATGATTTCCCAAATTTATTAATCTATTTTGTCATTTATATTGCTGACTTATTAATTTTGTTAAACAGTGCTTAACTTGAAAATAATTTTTTGTCGAAATATAAATAAAAATATTTTTATTATAGAGTCATGACGAATTATTAAAAATCTATAAACAAACATTTTTTTTAGACCTTTACGATAAACTTTCGTCAATATTGTATTATTAGCGAACTATTAGTCTCCGATATGGCGGGGTTTTGGGATCTGCTATGTATATAAATGATCAGCGTGACGAGCTGAGTCGATTTAACCATGTCAGTCTGTCTGTATATATACCCCCAGTTTTTGAGATATCGATTTGAATCTTTGCACACGTTTTTTTCACCTCAAGAAGCTGCTCAGTTGTCGGAACCGCCGATATCGTACCATTTTAACGTATAGCTGTCATATAAACTGAACGATTGGAATTAAGTGCTTAAATAAAAAACTTTTTTTATTTAACGAGATATCTTTACGAAATTTGACAGCAGTTATTGTCTAAAACAATAATGCAGTCTCCGATGAAATTGTTGAGATCGGATAATTATAGCTACCATAAATATGAAAAAATGTTTTGACTTTGAATAAATGAAAGTTTTGACTTTGAAATAATTTTTATTATTTTATAAAAAACTATTTTGTCCTTTACTTTTATTGGTTTTATTACTTTTAATTTATTAATTTAATATCATTTATTAGTTTTATTTAAGTTTATTACACACTCGGTTATTTTTATTATGTTTAGTTGGTGTTGACTGATTTAATGTTTGTCATTTCGTTCACTCTTTTTTATATTTATTTTTAATTATTATATTTTAAAATAGGAGAGTAAAAGTATCTCACGAAATCTTTATTAAATACCTAAATATCATTTTAATGTTTATGTTTATTGCATTAGAAAATATTGTTTTTTTTTACAATTCAAAAATGTTTTCATTTATGCTTGGGTTCATCGAAATATTTATTATTGATTTTTATTTCTTTATTTTTTATTCGAAAATTTTAATTTTTGTACTAATTTACTCAAGATAAGGGATATGCATTCATATATATTATCTCATTTATTGGTTCCAAATTTTGCATTTTGCTAAAGTAATATTTTTTTTTCAAACTTATATATATTCATAAGATTTTTAATTAAAAACTTAGTAATAATAAAACAAAATGGGTTAAAAAAATATATAAAATATCTTTGCTAATTTTTTTAAAGTTATAAGTAAAAAGTTTATGAAATCTCCAAGTTTTTTTTTTATTAATATTTTGACCAATTTTTATATTTAATCTTATATATCTTTATAACACTTTTTTATTAACAACTTAGTAATATTAAATGAAAATGGGTAAGAAAAAAATTTTTTTTAATCATAATTAAGAATGTAACAAATATTTAAGTATTTACAAAAGAAAAGATCAGAAATTTGTATACTTGATTTTATATTCATTATAAATTTGCCTTCAATTTGAGGTATTATTAATAAATATTATTTTATTATATTTTTTTTTGGTAAATGAATTTCATGAAAAATTATTATTATGTTATATATTTTTGTACAATATTAATTAATTGATTATAAACTTTTTTTATTATTTTAATTTAATTAAAATTTGAAATTATTTAAACGAATCATAAAAATTTGTTTTTTAAGCAATGCTTTGACCACCATTTTTTAATTCTTACCCAAACTTTGTTTGATTCGTGCTTAATAAATTCCCTAATTTCAGTCCTGCTTAGCAATAATTTACAAATTCCCCGAAAAACGGTGCATATTATATACAGTTCACCAGCAAACTAGCATATTTATCAAAATTCATATTAAAGTAGTTATGGACGTAACTAACGGTATTTTTTAAGAAGGTTTTGCATATATACATATATGTGATGTTTATAAAATTTATAGCAGTTATATTTTTATTGAATTTCATAAGTTTTACAGCGGTCTGATGGACTAGTATGATATATACAAAGTATTTTTATGGAAATTTTAACAAAAATCAGTACACATTGCACAAATGTATATATATATATATGTTATATATATTTTGTTATTATTGCTTATCACATAAATATTAAATTTCTATAAGTTTAGTGTAAATTAATCTAATCGTTTTTTTTTTTTTTGGTTTGTAAATTAAAATTTTCGTTATTCGCACACACTTCAAAATTAAATTTGTAGCACTTTTATTATTTGTTGTTGTTTTGCTTCTTCACACAAAAAGATTCCAGCAACCACAGCCGCATTCAAATGCCAGTTAACGAACCGTGCCCACCTATTAAATATATATAATATATGTATGAGTGTGTGTGTGAGTGTCTCACTTAATTTAAGCTGTTCTGCTGACACTGCACACGTCCCCGCCCCGCTTTCTCTACTTAATCACATTCGACTGCGCGCTCTCACTTCCACTTCCGTTTGCATTTGCTTCGCAAGCCTTTCTTCCGTTCGCCGTTCACCGTTCACGCTTCACTAATGTCCACACCGAAATCCGTTAACCCGTCAAATGTCCGACCACCGCTCACACGTTACACACACACGCAGGCACGCACGCTCGCTTGCATACACTAGAAAACCCGTTAACTTGTCGTCACACTGAGCGATCGTCATCAATTTCGACGCGTTTTTTTTTCCTCTAACGGTACTCGCAAATTTAATTAGAATTTTTCGAGGGGGGTTAACACGTAACGGCGTAACAGCGTAATTGCGTTTTAGTAGCGCGCGTCGTTATCCGCTCAAGTCCGTTACAACGAGCCTCACATGTTCTGTGGACCACGTATAAAAACAAACTGACTCCGACTCCACGGCCACAATGTGACACAAACAATTTACGCTTCGGCTTTTTCACGATTCGTTGACTTGGCAGCAGATTCGTAAGTTAGTTCGTGCGCTGCTTCGTACGCTCGTTTTGTTGTAAGTGAATTGCTGTTTTTTTTTTTTCGGTAACTTTTTTATTGTTGTTCCTCTTCCTATTATTATTCTTCCGATTACGTTTGCTGTGTAAGCTGAAAGTGTCTTGTAAGCGGCACACACGGTTGGTAACGGCAATAGTCGTGGCTTTGACTGTGGCTAAGGCTGCGACAGACGCGCCAGGCTCCGCGCCATGCGCACCGCCAACAGCCAGCAGCCAACAGTCGCACGTTCGCGGTTGCAATCTGCTTAGAGGTGGTGTTGCAATTGTTCGGTTTTGCCGGTGAGAGCTTACTGTTAACGGCCGCTGTTGTCGGATATGTTAACTAACAGCGCAGAATATGGACTGCATGTCTTCATATTACGTTATGTTAACTCCTCTTAGGTGCGAAGGTCCTTTGCGCTGTTAGCAAATTTGTTCTACATGTTTTATACATGACCGCATTGAAAGCTTTCTGTAAGCTTTTTTGCTTCTAAGGGTAAGAGAGTTTGCGCAAATGAGCTCTCTTATTTCCAAAATATAGCTGTGTGGATTCTATGTTAAGTGTTTTAGAACTTTAGTACTTTGTTAGTATGCGGAGTATTACTAAAGTTTAAAATTAAGGTAATGCGCAAGCTTTCTTAATATGCCTTGCATCGTAGAAGAAGTCTTGCAAAGTTATATAGCGGATAGAAGAAGGATTATCTACTTTATAAATATCTTCATTCAGCCAATCGACGAGCAAACTCCTGCGAATTAAATCATTTTATGGCAGCTATATGCTTTAGTTGTTCGATATCGGCAGTTCCGACAATTGAGCAGCTTCTTGGTGAGAAAAGAACGGGTGCAGAATTTCAGGATGATATCTCAAAAACTGAGGGACTCGTTCGCCTATATACAGACAGACAGAGGGACATACTGAATCAACTCAGCACGTCACACTGAATATTTTTATAATTTATAGGGTCTCTAACGTTTCGTTTTGGGTATAAAATATCGTGACAGACTTAAACCCTATATAGGGTATACAAATTTTCCGACGGTAAACGAATAAAAGGTGTAATACATAATTTTAATACCTTGCAACATTTTGATTTTCTTTTATAAAGCAACCCCATATCAATTGACATGTAGCCCAAATTTTATCCAATATAGCTTATCGAATTCGCACATCTAATTCGATATTGAGTATAACATAAGTTTAGTGTGTATACTAATTCACGATAGAACAAATCTTTAAAGTTTTTGATCAGTCAAAGCTAAGATTTATTTAAACACAAATTATAACCATTATTAAGTTGTATATTAAAGAAAAATAATCGATGTTATGATATGTTGCCTACATTTAGGTGCTTATATGAAATAACTTATCAAAGTCGCACACTATTAACGATATTTCAGAAAAGATTTTTAAAGATTTTGTTCATCTAAAGCAAATATTTTTTTAAGAATATTTAGTTGAACCATTTGCAGCAATAATAATTTATGTGACACGTTGCCTACATTTCGGCACCGCTATAATAAAACTTATTGAAGTCGTATACCTAGTTTCGAGTTACTGCCGTTTTAAAGGTCGATAGGGGGTAAAAAAATGGTATGAAAGCTAAAATTATTACATGTAATTAATGATTTGAATTTAAACTTTTTACCTTTAGCTTAGTTTAATCTTAATAACACTCGAAGGATAATACACCAATAAGCGATATCCGGGAAGCGAAATAGTCGATGAGATTGCCACAAGTGCTATTCGCTTGGCTGCCGAGTTAGTTCATGAAATACGCAAGTTACTAAAAACAATACACAAGGCAATTTTCGAAAAGGTTGACAGACGGATCAGGGTGAGATAGAAGGCTTCAAAGACATGCTGGTTCGCCATCACATGTGCAAGGGAACGGAAGGGAAATACGCATGCTTTTATTATTAATGATAGCACAAGAATGTGCAGGACAGTAGGCATGGGAGAGATGTTAGAACAGCTCCTCTGATTCGGTCCAGCATTATCTAGAACTCGGCTTAGATCTCTGGAAGTTTCGAAGTGCAGGGGACTGGATGAGGTATCAAATATAGATATCACATATCCATTAATCTTCGCAAAAAGCATTGGCTCTAGCCCTGTCTGACGAATACTTCAGCTTGAATTTAACTGAAATGCACATCTGGTAAAGCAAAGGACCTGTAGATATAGTTATGGCGTGACAATATGGCCATATGTATATATGTATCCGGCACGAGGCATAGCGCACCATATTAATCTTAATGCAATAATTCTATTTTCCAGCATCTCATAGTTTACCTTATTCCTGACCTTGACAACAACTTGCAAATTTAAAGCATTTCAAATTGAAAGCAATAACAATAAATCTACGCGTGTGAAATCACACTTAGCAGCTAATTAAGACATTTCCAGCAGCAAACAAACAAACACTCCAATTATTTAATTACAAAACGAAACGTTTAGGTCATTAGCATACCTGCGCAAAATGGCGAAAACGACCGCACACCCCTTGGGCCGAACATAAAAGACGGTGTGAAATGGTTTAAATCAACTTTACCGCCACTTGAGTGTGTACTTGTGAGAATAGAGTAATTAATGAATGCATAACTACATACAGTTATATGCATTTACACACACATTAGCACACACACATTGCCAATGCAGGTAAATCTTTTGAAACCCTCCGCACCCACTCGTTCAAGCGGCGCTCAGTGGAGCGGAAAGTGGCTCCAACTAAGCATGTAAACGCTGAGTGACTGACAAGTAGTGTGTCACTGCAATAGCAAAAACAAAGAAAAAAATAACAAACTGTACCGGCACACTGCAGCATTGAAGTCAACAACAACAATGTTATGACTTATTTATGGCTGAGAATGACAACTAACAACAACATCAAATAGAAACAATAAAAAACAGTTGACCAACACTATGGACACGTGGCCGGGAGTGAGGGTATATTGATAAATGGAAAATATGTTGGCGAAAGAACAGTTAGATAACGGAATAGTGCATGCATTAAAAGAAGCAAATACAGCTGCTGGCATATTAATAATGCAATCAATTTTGAAAGAAAATATATGAGACTAAGTACTGATCAAAGTGTAAAAATATGCCGGAAAACTATTTTATATTTTAACCAAAAATAGAGATATTATAATAGTCATTTATCTCAAATTAGTTGAAGTTAAGTTTTATTCACCAACTGCTGACAAAGTTCATTGCAAAAGTTAATAAAATATGCAGTTTTGTGTTAATGTCAGCCAAAATTTACTTTAAAATTAAAATAAAGCAATAAAGTATTGACACCTATTGTTAAATCTAAATAAAATATAGATTAAATAAAACAGTTAGAAAATGCTTTCTTAAATCACATTGCTAAGTAAAACACTGCAAATTAATACATGTACTTAAAGAAGTTGCCAGCCCGAAGCAAATTCATAATTTTAGTTAGAGTCGTAAGACTACTCTCGAAAAATGTAGAGTTAACTAAAAATTATTAAAATCAGAAAAAAAAGATTTTTAAATACAAAAATATTTATTCACTACAGAGTTGCCAATTATTACAAAATGAGTTTCAAAAAGTATGGCAAACATACTATAAATAATAATCTCATTGGCTAGTTAAATACGGAAAAGCCAAACATAATATATGTATATATTTAAAATATTATTATAAACAGGTAAATAAATATTTAATATAGTGGCAACCCTTGATAATGCCAACCACTGATAAAAAATATTAGAATTAATTTTTTTTGTTAAATTAAAGCGATTATGAGCAGCATTATGCTGTCAATTAAAAAAAATATTTGGTAGAGAGTTGCCAGAATATATTTTTAAGACAATTTATTTTTAAAAATTTTGCCGCGTTTTGTGCATATTGAGAAAGCAAAAACAAATTTAACTATTATATTTCAAACAATAAAAATCTAAATATACATAATATTTCCATTTTTTTAAAATTTTTATTGTATTTGAAAAATTTATTTAATATGTTATTGTATGCGTAAATGTCCTGTTTTCAAAGTTTTTGGTATGATAACTCTTTAAAATTAATGGTATGTTTTAAAGTTCTTTGGTTTTATTTTCCTGAAGAGTGGCAACTTTATGCATGAAAATAAGTAAAATAAATAATTTCACAAGCAATTTCAGCTGAAAATAATATTTTTACTACAATGGTATTAAAAAAATCATAACCATGTTACCAAGAGCGTGAATTCCTTGTTTTTTTTTTAGTCTGAGGTTGCTAAAATAAGTTTAAAAAAAATTAAAAATTATTGTAAAAAAAATTATTTTAACTAGCACCATTTATATGGCCAGCACTGTAATTAGTCATAACAAACATAAAAAAGTCAATAATTCTAAAACAACAAGGTGTTAATTGTTATTATAGCTGTTATATGATTAATTAACAGCGAAACAAATTGCATAAATAAACACAGTATGTTACACAAGTCATGATACGTGGACCACTTTTAACTACCACAAAGGGGTTAAAGGCTTCTTATTAGCCTGAAAACAATTAATTACTAGAAAACTAGAAATTCGCACAACATACGATCAGTACTTTTCATATACATTTGTATAGTATGTACATATGTATAAATATATATGTGTTAGTATGTATGTATGCTTAAAACCCATTAATGATGCATTACACTGAGCACAAACTTTTCAAGTGTCAAACTTTCAAGTTTAAAACCTACATACAACTGCATTTTTATGCGCCTCAAAATCTTCACAACAGCTTACCAGTTCTTAAGTGCAATTGAATGTTTCATTGTTGCTCATACGCCAAGGGGGTTTGGAAAATTTTCACACTCAATTAGACAGCGAAGTGTAAATTTCGAACAACTTTGTTTACAGCGAGAAAGTCAATTATATAATGCAAATGGCTTTCAAATATGTATATGAATATGTATAATATATAAATAATGTATATGCAATATATGTATTATAATTTTTAATATTTTTAATACTTCAAACTATGTTAATATAAAATGTATTTTAAACACTTTTTTTCAGTTGTGCAAAATAAAAAATAAAACTTTTAAGAATTTATCGAAAGAAAGCAACTAAATTCTGCAAAAATAAGATACTTTATGATTTTTAGACATTATTTTGCTAAATAATCTAAACAATTTTAAAAATTATCTTCTACGATTTAATGTTGAATTTTGACTTCGAATAATTTTTGAGCAAGTCGACCTAGCAGAAAAACCTTTTTCTTTTCATTTACACTATAAGTATTTGTTCAAATAACTTAAATATCCAAGCCAAATAAGAAAATATGCTTGCCTTATTTATATAAAAACTAA